ACGCCGAGTGGGGGGCTGCAAGCGGGGACCGCTGGCTCCACGGCCGCAGCGCACAGGCACACCATCGGGGCCTGGCACCCCGTCACCACGCCGGCGGCCTCCCACCAGCCAGCACTGTGGCATCGCAGCCCTGCGAGAAAAAGGCGATGGGAAGGTTATGACTCAGAGCAAAAGCAATCTGTCAATTAACAAAAATTAAAGATGACAGCAGTACAAACTGTACAAGACAGATCAACAAAATGTTTTATATCAATTCCCCTCCCTACAGTCATGAGCTCTTTAAACTATTTATTATTTGAGCGATAAAGCAGCTCAACTATAATCCATCTCCATCACTAGTTGTACCTACCTTTTAATCCATTAAGTCATGGATGCTTTAGTTAAAATTAGCAATTTTTTCTTTTTTAACCACTAAATATGAAGCACAATATAAACATTTGTAATTGCCAGCATGCGCTAACCGAGTATACTGACAAGAGAGTATTACCATATGGTCACCGGCTCCTACCCAGCTGATCTGGTATTACGCTGCACTGACGGCCAGAGAGGGACGGGACAGCAGGGACATGGTCAGCACAAGCATTTGGGAGCGGCAAAAGAAGCGCAAAATTTCACATGCTTAAAAAGTCTGACTCCTCTGACCAAGCAAACACCATTCACGGCATCCTGAATCCAGCTAGCTCCTGGGTAGTCCTGTTCATGCGAGCGCCTGCCACGCCAGTCACCTCTCTCCTCCTCCTCTTCCTCACAGCCTTCCCTGCTTCCACTCTGGAGGAGATGGGTCGCAAGGAAGAGGACAACAGCAGCTCCTGGAAGAAACAGACGAGCAACATCCGAAAAACATTCATTTTCATGGAGGCCCTGGGATCGTAAGTACCACAGCTGCTCTCTGCACAGAGCCACCTCTAGAGTAGCCACCTCTAGAGAGCGGCTTCCCAGCCCAGGGCTGCGACTCCCTTCCTGGCACTGGCCAACGTCACAAGAAAACGGCTCCCTCCGAGACAGGCACCCGTCACCAGGC